ACAACTTGCTCGCCGAGCTCGCCCTCAACACCACCCTTGGCTCTGGTCTGCATCAAGCCTGGCTTGGTGGCCACTTCCCGCCTGTGTTCGCCTGGACCGACGGCTCTGCCGCCACCGACTTTGGCTTCCCGTGGAGCGTCGAGGACAACGACCCACACGCGCACTGCCGCTTCAATTGCCTTGCTCTCAAATTCAAGGACAAGAAGACGACGCCCGCTAGCGAGTGGAAGGGCCTCCGCTGCGGCCGTAAGCGTGCGTACATCTGCAAGCGCCCCACCGCTGCGTGAGCTGCAGCATAGGGTGGAGTTTGCCGCATGGAACGGCAAAGACTTCTCGGCGTTGTCTTGCGCTTGTGATGTCAGAGTTCACTTGCTTTTCTAATGTTCCGCGAGCAACGTCTCTCTCTCTCTCTTTGTGTGTGTGTGTGTGTGTGTTGGGAACGCTCGTATCCCGATTCACTATCAGTACACCACAAGCTACTTTCACTTCGTGTTTCCACTCCAGGTAAGTGAGGGATGCTCGAGACACACTAAAGGGGGAGGAGGGAAGCATACACAATCAAGCACACATCAAGTGCAGCGGACACGAAAAGGGATGAAGGGCCTATGCGTGAACACCATGGTGGCACGATGCGCGAACAGCACTTGTTTGCTTCTCACGACAGCAAACTCGCGCAGCGCCAGCATCGTTATCCACTTCAGCAGCACGTCATCGCAGTAGTCGCTGTGGTGCAGCTGCCTCATCTGACAGGCCACCAGGCTCAGCCCAATGGCCGTCATAAACGACAGCTTGAAGTCGAGGCCCGGCTCCAGGTTGTTGGCGTCCACGAGTGCAACCAGGTCGCGCCGCTCCAAGCGCGGGTGCAGCTGTTGGCATGTCACATGTGGTGGCGTGATGGTGTGGTGGGTGGGGAGAGATTGGTGGTTGGTGTGATGAGTGGAAGTTGTGTGCATCAGCAGTAGTCGTGGTGGATGGGAGTCACAAACAGACACACATGCACACATGCACACACACACACACACACACACACACACACACACACACACACACACATGAAGACGTCGTAGTTGTCCTGCAGGCCGAGGACTTGGCAGGAGAGGACCATACTTGGGCGACCAAGTCATCGGGCGACAGCAGCGACAGCAGCTGTTCGTCCACCCACAGCCGCGTCTTGGTGACATGGAGCACGCCGTTGTCACTTGCAGAGGGTACAGCTGGTCGAGACGAACGTGCGTTGTGAGTTGGAGATGAGCGGTGAGAGAGGGTCAACACGACTGCTGGTGTAGGCTGTTGACCCATCACACATGCACATTCGTGGGTGCCAAAACAGACAGCGCATGGCAGCCGCCTCCAATGACAGCTGTGTGACCATGCTCACTTGAGTTGCGTGACAGCCGTGTTGTGTGTCAGCGCGTCCGCCAATGCCACAGCACCAGCATCACCGAGAGAGTTCCAGTGCAAGCTGTCAACATGCGAAGCAGTGGTGATTAGTAACGACGGAAAAGAGAAGCAGGGGGAGGGATCGTGAGTGGCAAGCAAGGGGGTAGAAGGGGACACTGACATCACACACTGGCTTCAGGTGTGCTGTGCCACAGCGTGGCATTGCGCTCAGCCATGACCTGGGGGTGGGCTGTGCAATCACAACACACGCCAACGACACTTCTCTCCCATGCATGGGTTGTGTCAAGACTCACTTGAGCCGCGCGATGGTCGCATTGTGCTTCAGCCCTTGTGCCAACGCCGCAGCGCCCTCGGGGCTGATGTGGTTGCTGCTCAGGCTGTAGCCAACAACCAAAAAGCACGATGGTGGGAGGGGAGGGGAAAGGGGAGGTGGGGTTGGTTGGTCATGAGCCAAGGGTGAAGGCAACACAACGAACATGACATGGCATGATGGCAACGGTGCGCGACGATAGCTGCTGGATCAGTGGCGCGTGTCGCATGCAATCCACATGTGCACGCACGCACTCGAGTCTTGTGACGGTGGTGTTGTCCTTGACAGCCACTGCAAGTGCGCGCATTCCACCATGGCTGTGTGTGTGTGTGTGTGTGTGTGGTTGGCACAGCACACAGGACATGACAGTGTTCTGACGACGATGCGAGGCAAGCACAGCAAGCACAGCAAGCCAAGCAGGACGCTCGACTCGGACTGTTGCAGACAACACACACACACACACACACACACTCACTCACTCACTTTGCGCGTGGCTCAGACGTGTTGTTGGCGATGGCCCGAATCAAGTCCTTCACCTCCTCATCTTCGATCTGCGTCTGCGCCAACAGGCCCTCCATCTCCTCGCTCACTGTCTTCTGTCCACCGGACATGGCCGATGATGGAGTTGGTGGGGGGTGGTGGGTGGTGGGTGGTGCTTGAAGGTCGTGTCGTCAACGATGGTGGTTTGACCGAAATTCCAAACAGCCAACGGTTGACAAAACCAGACGAGACACTGGCTGTTGCACGAACAACAAGTCAACGCAGAGGTGAGGGGTGAGGTGCAGTGAGGGGGGGGGGGTGTCATTGGTGGTTGTGCGTGCCACGTTCCTTCCTTCCTTCCTTCCTTTCTTCCTTCCTTCCTTCCCTTCGTCATCTTCGCTGACGCATTCACACACACACGCACGCACGCAGGGAGGGTGTGCGCACCGTCTCTCCCCTTCTCCCTTCCATCCATCCATCCTTCCTTCCTTCCATCGTTGTCCATTTCCTTCTCCTGTGATGAACCACGCACAACCAACCAACCAACCAACCAACGACCACATACATGACCCATCCATCGACAGGTGAGGGTGAGATTGAGTGCTCCCACTTCTTCCCCTTGCGCACAGCGCACAGCAACAACAACCACCACCATCAACAACAACAACACAGCGCACGCTGTAATCGTGCACACAGCCACACAGCCACGCACATATGTGGACCACCACGCATCCATCCATCCATGGGTGGTTGGATCACAACCAACACACACCACTGCGTGTGGCACTCACAAATGCACACACACACACGCACACTTGCTCACCGTTGTGTAGTGACAGAACAGCTGCCATCAGCCACCGTCATGCAGCGGCGACCCTGAGAATGGATCATGCAACCTCCCAACCAGTGAGCAGTTGAGGGAGGGGGAAATGGCATCAACCAACATCACAGCCAATGTATGTGTGTGTGCACGGGGTTGTGTTTCTTCTCATCCTCCTCCTCCTGTCTCTGCTCCTGTCTGTGACATTCTGCTCACTGCTGCCGTTGTTGCTTGCTTGTTTGTGGTGGTGCGTGCAGATGAATGTATTCCATCATCATCATCATCATCATCAGCAGCAGCAGCAGCAGGTGCTGGCTGATGCGTGAGGCAGTGGGCAACCCTCCACCAACCAACCAACCAACAATGACTGCGTGCTGATGGATGAATGGTGATTGAACCACTGCATCACCCAGACAGGTATGTGTGTGTGTGTGTGTGTGTGTGTCGACGTGCGTGTTCTCTTCTCCACCCACCCACACGCCATCATCACCACTTCTCATTTTCTTGTGTGTTTGCTCACATCCTTCCCTTCCCACTCTCAACACCAACACCAATACCACCACCCTTCTCGTTTGTTTCTCCCTCCTGCACAGCGGGGCCTTTAGCCACCAGCTGTCACCCCACCCCCCCCTGCACCAACCACCACTGCTCTGGTGGGATGAACAGACGGGCGCTGCCATGTGATGACCATCCAGCCACGCTTGTGCGGCTGTGGAAGCAGCAACACCAACACACACCACACCACAAACAAGCAAGCGATGAACAACGTGAGTGCATCACTGCATGTGTGTTGATGTGGTGAGCACAGCACCAGTGTGCTTGTTTGTGGTCGCTGTCTTTGCTGCTCTTGTCTCCCCTTGTTGTCCCACATCAATGTGCATGCATGTGTGTGGTGCGGCTGCCTGTTTTGCCTTGCTTGATGTGCTGTCTCATTCGTCGTTCTCACACACAACCGCCTGCACACCTGCACATTCTCCAACTTGCAGCTGCTGCTTATATTCCCCTCTCTTTCTCGCCCTCCCTGACGGCCATCACAACAACAACAGCAGCAGCAGCCAACACACCCTCCACCGCCGATGCAGCAGCAGCAGAGAATGCACCACCACCACCACCACTTGCTGCTGAGCACATTCCCCAGCCAACCAAGCAAGCAGCAACAAACCCATCGCCCAATGCTGACGGAAGCTGGCTGTTTGCAGCTGGGAACAGCGACAGCACAAGTTGCATTTTCGGCGGGCAGCAGCAGCAGAGGTGAGGGCGAGAAGAAGAGGGAAATGGAGGGGAGATGTATGTTGGATGGATGGATGGATGGGGTGGGTGGGGTGGGGGATGCTGGGTGAGTGTGGTGTGGTGCGGTGTGGCTGGTGACAGGGGATGATGGTGGTGGTGTGAGGAAGAGGGATGGATGGATGGATGGGGTGCAGCATGTCTTGTTCCTTCCCTTCTGTTTTCTGTTTTCTCTCTCTTCCCTTTCTTCTTCTTTGCACACATGCATGCACAGCATCAGCAGTGGCAGCAGTGTGACTGCGCACACATCAATGCTTTCTCTTCCCTCCCACTCCTCCACTTACCATGCTGGTGCTCGCACACAACCACACTCACAGGCGATGCACACGCACAAGCAGAATGAGGGAAATGTCGAGGATACTTGCCACGCGTGCCAGTTGCACTCGCCTCACACCTCTTCTTGCGTCTGTGCACACATATTTCACAGCGTTGAGGAGGCACATGAAGCGGTGGAACCAACGACGATGACGATGACGAGTGATGAAGGTGAGAGGGCGACTGAGATGTGTGTGTGTGTGTGCGTGTATGGTTGACATGTTGTGTGTCCTTCTTCGCTTCCCTCTTTCTTTGTCTGTTCTGTTCACTCGTCTTCTTCCCCCCTTTTTTTCGATTGACTTGGACACAGGCCCATGCATTCCATCTCCATCCATCCAACCGACCAACCAAGCAGCCGAGCGAGCGAGCAAAGGACACGGCGTGGCAAGGGGCCGTTGTTTTCACCCTTTCCACCACAAGCAACAACAGCAACAGCGGATGTGTGGCTGCATTGTGGATGAACTGGCCCTCTGCCTCTCATCCATCTCCACCTGCTCTTCGTCGTCATTGGTCACCAACAGCAGCGGCTGCGACCATGGATATGGAGGTAGGATGAATGGCGGTGGTGGTGATGTGGGCGGTGTGTGATGTGTTGGGTGTGAATATCAGTGCGTGTGTAGGTGTGTGATTGTGAGGTGCTGGTTGGATGTCGTTGGATCTGTTGGTGGTGACAAAGGTGTGGTTGTCGTTGACAGCCTGATTCTGTGACAACTCACCTCTTTCTTCACACGTACAGGGTGAGATGTGCGTCGATGTGCCGTCGCCTCGCATGACGACGATGCTGGTGGTGGTGAGTGGGTTGTGGTGGATGTGGACGGCGCACGCACACGCATGTGCAGATGTGCTGCTTGTGGTTGTGGTGTGTGGTGTCTGTGTGTGGGGATGTGAAATGTGCGTGCACCGGTGATGATGTGGGTGATGTGAATGTGGCAAAGGAGGTGGATGTGGTTTGTTTCTGCCATGCTGGCTCACTGCGTCGTGTTCTTCTTGCTGATTTGTTGTTTGCGCTTGCGCATGTGTGCATGTGTGTGATTTGCTCAGGACGGTGACCGATCTCTTCCCAAGCCCTCATGACACGAGCAGGGCGATACACGCACACACAAATGTGCGAGAAAAGAAGACACAAGGTGAGACGCTGCCGCTGTGTGTGTGTGTGTGTGTGTGTGGTGAGGTGATGGGGTGGTAGTACTCATTCGCACGCACGTACACACACGCATATACACATGCATGCCAACACATCAGAGCAGTCATTGGCTGTGGGGTGGTTGCACTGACGTGTGTCTCACATGAATCAATCTCACAACTCAAATGTGTGTGTGTGTGTGTGCGTGGCTGCAGGCGGACGTTGTGCGGGTTTCCCCAACCGAATCCCCTTCCTCCTTTCCCAACCAATCGCCTTTGCTCTGTGTCATCATCATCGTCAGCCTTCACCATGCGATGTGGTGCTGTTGAGGCGTGATCGAGACTGCGGCCAACACAGGTATTGCAGCAGTGGTGGATGTGGTGCATGTGGTGATATTTTGTGCCTGCCTGCTGGCTCGCTTGGTTGCTTGCTTCGTTGGTCTTGTGTGTATCTGGTTCACCCGCCCACAACATGCCGCATATTCTAATGCGTGATCCCTTGTGTCCCTCCTTTCCTGTCCTCACCACCACCGGTCATTGTTGTTCGTCTCTGGTTGGTTTCTCCTTGCCTCACAGGCAGGCAGGCAGGCAGGCATGCAAGCTTGTGCTGCTGGTGCCGCTGTGATGATGACCCTGCGTGTGCCTGTGCGCGGTGCACCGTGTTTGGGGCTGCACCGATGAAGACCAGGAAGGACACGGCCCGTGCCCACCACTCTTCCCCTTCATCTTTTCTTTCTGCTCCATCAGCGATGACGATGGTGGCCGTGGCGTGTGACTGCGCTTCCTTTTTGTTTGGCTTCGCTGTGGCCCATCGGCTGGCTGGCTGCATCAAGCACAGGTGAGGATGATCGTTGGCGGTTGGTTGGTGGCTGGGTTGAGTCGAGTGGGGCAAGCAGGGGGAGGGGGGAAATGGCACAGTGATGGTGATGGTGGTGGTGGTGGTGGTGGTGCGACGTGGGAGTGCAGAGCGAAAGGAGGGGGAGGGAAGGGAAGTGATAGGAGGGCGATGATGTTGATTGAGGGATGGGGGTGCGCGTGCACATGCACGTGAATCGTGTGGTGGTGGTGTCACATGTGGCTCATGCCTTTTGCTTGTACCTGTGATTGTGTGATTGTGATGATGACTGCAGCAGGCAACACACGGCGGTTGATGCTGGATTGGATTGGCTGGGGTTGACTGGCCGTCGTGTCGTGTCGCCCATTTCTCTCCCTCCGTTGCTCATCTCAACTGGGAACACACACGGCGATGTGTGCATGTGTGCACGTGTGCGTGTGCGTGTAACGCCATCAACCACGCCGGCAGCAACACGATGCACGAGGTGAGGGCACGCAATGGTGTGTGTTTGGTGGAAGGGGTTGAGGGGAAGTGGGAGGAAGGCGTTCATCATGGCCGTCATCACCACCACGGCTGTGTATCTGGTCATGTGACCGTGCATTTCGCGGGATGGAGATGGGGAGAGATGTTGTCGTTGTGTTGGTTGTGGTGGTTGTGGTTGCATTGCTGTGTATGCGTGTGCATGGTGCACCATCTCACTCTGCAATGCCATGTGTCACTGTGTGTGTGAGTGTGTGTGTGTGTGCGTGTGTGACTGCAGATGTGCGTGCGCGTGCGCGCGTGTGCCAGGCAGATGCGTTGATCGACGACGAGGTGAGA